TTCAAGTAAGTTTTCAAGCAGTCATCACAATCATATATTGAGGGTGCCATAGCAGCCGGTAGACGAATCCGGAGAATACGTTAGTTGTGGAAACAATTTGAGTCCTACGCCATACAAGTTTGCCCGTGCAATGTTTGATTCAATGCCCTTTTTTGAAGGTAGTTTGTGTGCATTCGCGTTGATGCATTTCCTAAACCAAATTTTTTTATTTTTCAAGTACTTTGGGTATGCAACGGTAAATCCATATGCATTCAGAGTTATGCCGTTTCGGAGATTTCTAACCTCTTCATTGAATTGGTTACATGTACACATTTTTTCTCGATTTAATTGCACCAGCAATCAGAATCATATTTCGAATCGATTTACACTCGTCTGCTTGTCCATACGTCTTCAGCAATCTATGTATCGTAATTTTTAAGATGCTTGGATCCTCTGGAAAATAAATTAGACTGAACCACATTCACGCCCGCTCCCAAGTCATACGAAAAAAAAAAAAGGAATTCGCAAGGTTCCTCTATAAAAATCGGCGAATAGCAGTAATTCGACATACTAAATTGATATGAAAAGTTTGGATCGGATGGCTTCATGTTTTAAGCCTTCTTTAGGTCCATTTTTTAAACGCCAAACCATATAACGAAATGTATTTCTTGAATAATAGCAAAGTCCAAATTGTGGTATTGTCTGAATGTGGTCTACGTCAGTTAGTATTTTCGGTCCCTACGATATAAAGACGTCTTTCCCTAGAAACACGATATAAATATTGGAATTTTATGATGCACATTAATGAAAAACGTATTTGTTTTTCTTTGTATTTGACCAGCTCTTAGAGAATGGTCTATAAATTTAAGTGTATATAAATTTAAGTGGGCGTGGTGGTAGTCAGAAAGGACTGTAATCAGACAAGCAGTAATAAAGGAAATAGCATTTGTGCATAAGATTTGAAATTCGAAACATCTGGAACAGTGAGAGAAACTACTGTCGGCATGTTCTTCGAAGCAAGACAATGGGAGGAAGAACAGATATGTGTCACACAGCTGCTTTTAAGTGATCGGTCGTTTGTAATGTGTTTAGTTTATTCAGTTTGTTTTTCGTTTCTTCATTAATTAATCACATTGGTATTTCCCGTACTATATTTCATGCGTGTAATATATTCAAAAGCATGTGCTTCTCAAAAAGCGATTTTCCAAAATGTTAAATAATAAGAATTCAAAACTTGTCATTCTTTTCTTTCAATTTTCAACCATATAATGAAAAGACTTTTTAAAGAGAGGTATGTAGGAGATCTAAAAAAACTAATTCATTTATTACAAATGATTGCTTCTTTTTGGTCGACAATTGAACACTTTAATTGAAATAACTACACAAAAATCTATATTCTAAACACATAAAAATGGATATTTTTAAAAATCTCTAGGTATTTCCTAATATTTTGGAAAAATAATTTTTTTAATACTTAAATTTACATTTAAAAGCTTTCCCGTATATTATAATTCTATTAACTTTTCCCCCTTCCAGTACAACATCACTCTTTTTCTAGGCTTTTTGCTAGGCTTTTACAATAATGGAATCCAATTTGCGCTAGCCAAGATTACATAGATTCGTAAGTGCGTCAGAGATTAACCGTATCCGATTCCGTATAAAAAATGTATTTCATCAAATCAGTATAAACCGTGAATTGTAACAATAATAAATGAAAAATGAATAAACAAACAATTTTTAAATATTTCGACGCCTATAAAATGACTTATGAAATCACCCTTACTATCTTTCCTAGTTTTCTAAAAGAGCTTTCTAAAAATATGGAAGAAAAAATCGAACTCAAAAAGAAAATTTGAAATCAATTCCCAGATGAAAAAACAAAAATGACCTTTAAAGAATATTATTATTATTCAGTTGTGAAAGGTAGTTATATGTTAGTTAAGCGATGTTAAAAAAGCTATTTATTATCTAAAACCTCCTAAATGCCTGAAAATTTACCTCAACATGTTAGTGAAAGACGACCGGAGATGGCAAAGGATATTAAATAATTGACACATTTCTTCATTAAGGCGTTAAGATGCCATTTGCGGAACAATACCGAGAGATTGTGACAATGTATCACGTTTTTCATGATAGGGTGAGTGGTCATTGGGGTCATTTCTTTGCCTTAAAAAACAATCATGGATGGCCTTTACTTGCGTTGTCGTGGTCAAGCCTTCAAAACAGGTTTTAAGGGTTACTTTATTCTGATAGTGTTTTTATTTATTTTATTTCTGACAGTAAGGCACGTGTTTGGTCCTCAAGAAAGTAATATTAAGCACGCGCCAAGACAAGGAATATAGTTGCGGAAACATTATGTTCGCCTTTAATTATTATTTTTTAAAAGTTAAATGAAGCCATTCCCAACTCAAATCTCCCTTGAAGATAAACTTATTCGTGGGATATGTCTTATTTGGAGGGTGTCAACGTATAAGCTTTTCTTGACTTTTTCTCACACACTAACGATTGATGCGTATAAACTGCATGCCCCGGAGCAATTTAGTGCAACGAGGCAAAACGACATCCGTGGTGCAAGACAATCTCGAACATTTTAGGCTCTTCCAAAAATAAGTTTCTTTTTAGCGTGACGTGGCGCAGGGAAGTATTAAAAATGCTCATAGCAGGAAAATGAACAAAAAACTTAATTTTTTTTGTCAAAATCTTTATAACGCTCAGAAGCTTCAAAAACCACGAAAAGTGTATAAATCCTTAGCCACTTTCAAATTCGGAATACGCCTAAACATGTACGTCCGTTTGTCTATCAATCTGACCGTCTGCCTAGCTACGTACTACCTGCGATAAATATTCTCCCGATCGTAAAAATGAAGACATTGCCTGCAAGTTTGCAAAATAATTTGAAAATAGTCGAAACGAGTCAAAGAAGATGCCTTCAATGCCCATACGCGCAATCAGAACTTAGAACTCCGTCTCTTTTTCTCATTGCTTATGAACTACAATAAACACACCATATAAATTTCCCCAAAATTATTCTACAGCAAGTAAGAAAATTATATTCGGTCGTGTATTCATAACAATTACCCTAAAAGAGACAACAGATGTAAAGGAACTACATTTCCATGCTCTATAGTATGGACGTGACTGAGTTTTTCTATTTTCAACAGTTTTTTATCGCAAAGACGTGATGGCGTTGTAGGCGTACCCTTTGAAGAGTTTCGGTCACTTCATTTTCTTTCTCATTTTATTCTTTTTGAAAAACAGAGGTATGTTCAGTTTACGTTGTACTGTGAGCTTGTCGCTGGACTGATTAAGCCCACTTTCAAAGCCTACCTGCAAGAACTTTCAAGGTTTCTGCCAAATTTGATGTCGATAGTTTCTTTTTCTGCGCCGATAAGAATGTTTATGCAAAATATTGCATAGACAAGCAGACGGAAACGCTTAAAGAGATTCAGAATTTGACGCTGGTCAAGAATATGTATACTTTGTAGGGTCTATGAAGTTTCCTTTTGGGTGTTGCAAACGTTCCGGCAAAATGAATACATCCCTAATCCTTCGGTGATGGGCATAAATCATGTATGGCTATGACCGAATTCTTTACGCCCACCACGTCCACTTTTAAAAGAAAAAAAAACCGAAAAACTAAATTTACTCCTTTTACTCCTTTCGTAGAATATAGGGGGGAATTTTCATGCGGCGTCTCTTGTAATTTAGGCGCAATGGCCTAAAAACGCAGAAACACGGGACGTTCCCATTTCATATTCTACTGCGGGTACGTGCATTTACCGATTTCGTCAATTTCCAATGCCAACCTGCATGCAAAGACGTCCAACGTTTTTGAAGAAATTTCTAAATTTTGCAATTAGGAGTAAATTTACCGCAGCAAATAACAGACAGACAAACAGACGCACCGACAAATTTTTTTAAATCGCTTTAGAGTGTGATGCTGATCAAGCATACATATATTATACACTACGAAGCTTCCTTACGAATGTTGCAAACGTTTTAACATGATGAATATACTGCTATCCTTTGGTCGTTTATATAAAAACGTTTCTCTGAGTGTTATAAATGAAAGAACGAGGCGAGTACGCTAACCTTTAATAGTCCTGATGAAAATTCCCTTACTATATATACGTCAACCGTTTCAGAAGGTGGTTGATGCAGTAAGGGAATGAAAAAATGAAAAATATCTTAAGATTCGTTGCTTGAAAACTACAAGAATTTTTTAGCTGAAAAATATGATTTTCATGGACATTTCCCGGCGATATTATTGGTGGAAAGTTAAAAAATTTTCGTAAAAAAATTCGAATAAAAACTCGCCAAATGAAAAAGTATAACGTACGCAAATTCAAGGGATGATTTCGATTTTAAAAAAGGGCGAAATGAAACCTTGCAGACATAAGAAAAATTAAAAAAAGCAGTAATTGTTGCAAAGTAGTGTGAGGCCAACCACCCTTTTATTAAAAAATTTGAACAAACCTTTACGTAAAATAAACGCGGCATGTTTTCTCTTTTTTTAAGTATTGAAGGACTTGAGATAAAATAGATTTTTAAGAGAACGATCGCTAACTCAATCGCTCTAAAAAGAGAGTTCAAGTTGAGTTTTTTAATAGGGAGAGGGTTGAAATAGTCATGTATTTTGGCGCAGTTTATTTATTTTTTGCTTGCACAAAAGTGATCTTTTCCTTTATAAACGTATTTAGCTATATTAACAGATATCTAAGGAACAGTTGAAACAGTTTGAGCATAAACGCCAAGCTTAACATATCTTGATTGTGTACACTTGATAATGATCTTTACGTAATTAAATGTTTGACGGTTATCGTGTGCCTGGAGCTTAACGATACTAAAAAATTAAATGATTTGCTTACACCTATATATATGTTAAAATAAATATTAAAAAACTAAGTTTGATTAAATAAATTTGATTAAAAATAAGAAATGAAAATTATCATAAAAAGAAATATTTAAAAGTGAAAAAATTTATATGAAAAAGATTCTATTGGAGAGAAAGATTCGGTTAAGAATTTAAAAGGATGTCTACACAATTGGAATTTATTATGCAACTATACATGATGAATTTGTTGCAACAACAACAACGGCAGCAGCAACAACAGCAACAACAACTTTCAGTGCCTAGTTCTTTAAAACCTAAGGATTTAAACAACTGCCAACAACCTTCATTAACACAACCGGCCGTTCAAGCTTTGCTAGCCCAACAATCATCACTATCATCTATAGTTACAAGGACACAAAAACGCAAAAATTCGCAAAACACCAACTGTAGTAGTAGCCGTAGTTGTAGCCCCAATAGTAATTTAAGTCCCATATCAACTAGCACTACAATGCTTACCGCACCGCCCCTTCCATCTCTGGCTCCTTCCTCTCCCACAACTATTAATCCCTCCTTAGCTACGACTAATTTTACTAACACTGCCAATAGTAGCAGTGCAGCTATTCAACAAATCTTATTCAATAATTTGCCGCCTTTAACACAGTTTATGTTAATGCAACAACAGCAACAAAACCAAGTACAATCTGGCTTAACTACCACTAATTCCCTGCTATTAACGCCTACAACTCCTAATTCTAGGTCTCCCAGCATTCATAAATCTCTTCCTCCTCCTTCTGTTCTGAATATGGACAATTTTCTGTCCAACAATTTATTATTGAATGGCTGCTCTGCGACTTTACCGTCTTGTGTTCCGTTTGCAAATTCTGCCGTAGCTTCTGGCCCATATTTCCCTAACGCTTTTAGCGCTGTGGTTAATAACCCATTTATAGGCTCACAAAATTTTCTACATTCATCTACAGTGACATCAACCCCCGCATCTGCCACCGAGAAGGTCTTAATGAGAGATGGCGCCAGGACTAATTTACAACAGATGCCTGCTCAATCGGACATTTCGGTGTTAGGTGACGAGGATGCCAATGATTTAAAACTAATAATTACCACTACAAGCGATTCTGCGTCACAACAGCATACATCCCCAGATGGAGATCAACCCCCATCTGGTTTGTATAACAGCTCTTTGCTTCACACAAGCGAAATTAATACCACTACTAACTGTGACAGTGGTGGTACCAGCAGCCATTGTGCTTCAAAGGTGTTGCTTAACCTAGGTACAGAGGCTTTGGAAGATATTTCGAACTCAATGCATGACAATGAACAGACGGTAAGTGTAAATAAAGCTACAAGAACTAGTTATAGCATGCCTATAGTGGACTGTGCCTGATCATAATTGGAAGGTGGGGTGGCGTGCTAAAATAATACGTAAAGCAGTTGGGGCGGGTAGAGCTCCGCCAAGTTATGAGCTTGCTGCTACCGATTTTAAGTGAGTTTATATTGTACACTTTAGATATGGCTCAGAGAGGAAAGAAGGGATATCAAAATTAGATCAAAATCTGCCATCAACCTTAAATTAAAGTGCCCAGCTTCAGTTTACTGTCTCAATAAACAATGCACGTCGCAATTTTTGACAGCCAACACGTAGACGGAAAGGCGGACATACCTAAATTAATTCGGTATCTTTCACGGTTCCTACGCATATTTTTGAGTTTTACTAATGAAAGATGAAATTTAGCATACCTTCTTCAATGGCTTATATGAATTGTAATTTCACTTTAATAAAAGTTATGTCGGTTCAAAGGGGAAATTCTACCAACTAATAATCAACTTTGCTCAAAACAGTGAAAAAATACGTAACGGAGTGGTGGCGATAATGAAATGAAGGCCTATTATGCAATTATTGTAATCTTTCAGTAAAATTAAGTGAGGAAAAGCGAGTATTATTGTTTGCTAAGGAGCTACATTAGAAATATGTGCTGTCAAGAAAGTGTGTAAAATTTGTGAAGCGCTTCATCAACTTTAATCTTGTTAACCGATTGGAGTTCACTCTTGTAAGGAATTGTCCCATTGTTTTACCACCATTTACAATACGTCTTATAAAGAAACAATAGGAGGAGTATAGAGCCGATAAGATTAGTGCATGAAATAATCGCTTAATATTTCTCTCCAAATTTAACCTGCCGTTTTCATTATTCTTGCAATTTTGGGCAGTAAGAAAAGTATTTCACTCACAGCAAATGGATATTTGTTTACATTTATTTCGGGATCATTTTGAATGCATTTTTGTAAAAATGTAAAAACGATTTACTAAAAACTTTCGATTGGAAGCGAACTTTGCCATGCTTTCAACGGATGATGTAAAGTCTTTAAGGTTGTAGGGGAGATTGTCGAAAACGTAACTCGTTTAAAAAGTTCTATGGCAATAAAAGCTGAAGGAATGAGATGAATCCTAAAGCATCTAAAAACACCGTGGAGGCGCATAAAAATTGACTATTGAAATAAATTCGAATAAATTGAAACCGATCAACAGTCTTCCGAGCCGCGCTCAGAGAAAATCACATCCACAAAAGGCAGAAATAGTTCTGCAATTAAATTACGCAAGCACGTGCTAAACGGTTACTAATAATACTACTCCCAGTAGCACTGCGATTCAAAATAAACGCCACTCGTCGAGTGGAGCTTACAAAAATTCCTGAAAGACTAGCGAAAGGGTAAGCGGTAACAACAAAAAAGCTCTACACAAAAGTTACGGACAACATGGACATTGTGCCAGAAGATACTTGATGTTCTAAAGATGAGAATATGGATAAACGGTGCAAAAAGTATTATACTTCACTGCAGCTAATATCCGTACAATTTATGCCTACATTCTAAAGAGATCAAAAACACCTGCCCCCAACCCCCCGGCCGCCCTTTAACAAATTTGAAAATATCTTGGTGTAGATTTGTCCATTTGGATTTCTTGAATAGTAAAGGGACTCTATTTCAAAAACTTCTTTTCTAGTGTGTTGATTTTTATGTGAATTTGATGCGTTTGTACTTTGTATGTATTCTCTTCTCTTCATAAAATATTCATCAGCAAGTGAAGTAAAGATTGGGTATGCAGTCAAATGGAATCACTTAAGTAATGACAACAATGTATAAAAATAACAAAAAACAATAATGAACACTTGCACATAACACAAAAATATTGAAAAATCAAGAAAATCACATAAAATTCCAAAAAAGAATCAAAACAGTAAGAATATATAAACAAATCTCAGAATTAAGTAACAAATAAACGAAAAAAAGTTATAACAAGTGGTTGGGCAGAAGATTAACATGAAAAGAGAATGAGAGCCGCGTAAGCAAATATTTTCTTAGGTTTCATAAGAAGGGCCTCTCAACCCCTCTCAACTACGAAAAAACAATTCTTTCTCTCCGTTTATGCGGGCCGTCTCTCAACCTAAGCTGATTTTTTAATACTTTTATATTTATTTAGTGGATATCTTTCTCATTGATTTACTTTGAAGGACGGTTATAATATGGCAAATTTACGATCAGTTAATGGTCCCTTCGAAAGCTTCGAACCCCTCATATTCTTGGGCTTTTGTAAACTAACTAAATGAGAGGCTTCAGTAGGAGAATGCATGTCAGCCTATCATTGTAGCAATTAACTCACAATTGAGCGAAATTTTTAAGCGTTTCCTGACACCTTCTTGACTAATGACAAACATATACAGTCGCAACCTTTTTGTAATTCGCAAATTGTTTGCTTTCTTAAATATTTTTCTCGTTTTTTCCGTTGAGGTACAATTTTATTCCCCTGAGTTAAATATATTAAAGAGATCATTTAATTACTCCACATTATATGTTGATTTTGTTAAGATTAATCTGTTTATTGTTTTCAGTCACTCACAACCCCACCCATATCCAACCTTAATGCGGTATCCCCTCCTCTATCTAACGCCAAAGCAGATGATGAAAATTCTAATGTTACACCAGTGACGTGGAAGAATGTCATTCTTACACCGCCCTCTAGTGAGCAATTATCTTCTTCCGCGATTACGGTGAATACATTTGAATCTTCAACATCTAACGCTAGCATAAATCCCCAGACTTCAACTCCTTTGCTTGCCTGTCACTTCAATGCCAACACTAACACTACGTCATCTTCATCTTCCTCCTCGACTGGTGTTGATTCCTTCCTAACAGAAGAGAATTTAAAACATTTAAGAAAATATTCCTCATATCTGGAATGCAAAAGCGCGTTGTGCCGCCAAGAGAATTTACGTGAACATTTTCATTGCTTCGAAGAACCCTGCAAGGGAAAAATTCTGAGTAAAAAAGATGATATTATACGTCATCTAAAGTGGCATAAGAAGCGCAAGGAGAGCTTGCTATTGGGTTTTGCTCGCTTCTCCTCTTCTGATGATTGTGAACCCTCTTATGGTTCAGGTTGTGCTTACAATTGGAAGCAAACACATTATCACTGTGTATACGAAGAATGCCCGAAAGTATATGTCAGCACTAGTGATGTACAAATGCATGCAAATTTTCATCGCAAGAATTCGGAAATTGTTCAAGAAGGTTTTCGCCGTTATCGAGCTCATGAAAATTGCAAAGTAGAAGACTGTCCGTTCTACGGCAAGAAGACGTCACACTATCATTGCTGTCGGGATGGTTGCAATCATACATTTAAAAATAAAGCAGATATGGGTAACTAAACAAAAAAAATTCGACTAATTCTTAGTTTAATTTGACTTTTTTTGCCTACTTTTTAAGATAAACATAAAACCTACCATTTAAAGGATTCTCAATTGATACAAGATGGTTTTAAGAAAATCCTAAAAACGGAGCCATGTCCGTTTGAAGATTGCAAGTTCTCGGGTATATCCAATCACATACATTGTGTAAGGGATAATTGTAACTTCATATTGCACTCCAGCACCCAAATGATTAGCCACAAACGTAAACATGATCGTCAAGAAGGCGAACCTGGCCTGAAGGGTCAAGTCGATTCCAATGAGGAAGAGTCGTCGCCAAAGCCCTCAGTATCAGTTTTGAGTCAGGTTGCTGCATCAAGTAGTACTTCTACGCCGTTGTCTTCTCTAACACCAGAAAATTTCTTGGCACGCAAACGAGGAAGACCCCCAAAGAAAATTGTAAGTAATATCAAAAAATTTAAGTTTCCAAAAATGTATAAGTTTTTATAAAAATTTTTACAGCAATTGCCCGCGGAATCCAGTAGCGATATCAAGCGCATAAAATTAGAGACTTCGGATGAGAATTCCAGTACTCAAGTAACAGCGCCCGCATGTGCAGTGCCAACCCTGACCAGTTTCATGCCAAATTTTAATCTTCCCCTCCCATCAACAGCTACGATATCTGATACTAACCAACCAAATTTTCAACTGACTCATCTAATGGCTCTGTTTCAATTACAGAATCCACTCTTCTATCAAAATCTCTATCCTGGTGGTCTTAACGCAGTTAATATGGCCAATTTGTTGGGTGCTGCTGCCGCTACCACCTCGGTCACTAATGTCCAACCATCCATTATTAATCCAACAAATTCGCCGAACTCCGTTGATAACATCAAACAGGAGCTTAATGAAAAGCCCGAACATAAAGACTGAAAAAAATGATTTGAGCAATTTGTGCAAAGTTCTTAATGAATCAAAAAGCAATTATCTTGGCTTAAATGTGCTAAAAATTGGAGAGATTATTAATGAATCAAAATGAAATGAATCTCTTGTCTTAAGAAAGAAGGTCCACATGCCAGGTGCTTTAGCAAAAGTCAGTCGTAGGCGGACTTTAAGCGCGCGTTTGAAGACCTTGTCAAGGACATTTTATAGTTCCCACAAGTTTTTAATTGTTTCTTCGGTTGCACCATAGACAGGAAAAATTTCTTGTATGAATTTTTCTGCTTCAGGTAAAGCAGCAAAAATTTGTTACAACAAATTTTTCTTCTATAGTTTATTTACGAAAGTGAATACGGTACTAATATAAAAATTAAAAAGTAATTTGTTTCTGCTGTTCTTTTATAAAAATAATTTTTCTTACGCTTACATTAACAAAAATTATTTTTATGAACAAACAGCAATAAACAAAAATAAACAAAAAAAAAATTTAAAAAAGGGGAGATCTTGACATTCACATTCTTAAGTTATTCGTTCATTAAAGAAGATCTTGAAAGTTTCCCTTTTTTCGTTGTTGCGGCACAAAACTAGAATCGTACCTAAGGTTAAGTTTCATTGTTATTTTAATTTTTCTAAAAATCAAACGGAGGATTGTACTAGCCCAACTTACCCTTCTAAGAACGTTTCATTCGCAAGTTTCACATATAAAAGCCGAAATTTTGTATTAATTATTGTAGCGCATGTAGGCCGATCCCATCATACTTCTTTACATAATTTTATAATTTTGAGAAGCATTCCTAGTATACATCCGCACAAGAAGCGGAAAGGAGCTGCCTTTGTCTCAGAAGACTTTCAAACAATGTCGTTTTGATAATAACTGCTTAGATACCTTCCTTGACCATTCAACCACTTAGTAAATCCATTGAGCTAAAAGTTGATGCGAGGAGGCTGTTGTACGGGATGTACTGGATGTATCTTATAAAGACCAAATTTTTCGGTCAAATACCTCACGTTGCAGTTTGGAGGGATGCTAAGTTTTTTAATAATCGGGTCGTTAATGCTAACCTCATAAATACAGCGGAACAATTGCATTTGTAACGAGAATATTATGAAATTTGCTAGTTCGCAGCTTTTCAAGAGGCATTCTATAGTTCACTTACTGGAATAGATCACAAATTTTCGCTAGTTCACGTGAAATTTTGCCGACCGAAAACGAATTTAAATAAACACTTGGAAAATTTCCGAAATATTTTTTCGTTTATCGAATATAAGCGCAAAAGAAAAGCAAACAATAGGTAGAACTTGCGCAATATGCAACGAATAAAAAAATAAATGCAAAAACAGCAAGTAAAAGAAATAAATACAAGTATGAAAGTCTTGTTCGATATGAATTCGCCGAAACTTTGAAATTTATCACTTAGACCTGACGTATGTTAAATTCAGACCGAATTTTTCGTCTTCCTTTCAAAGAAGAAAAGCTAATACTACCAATAATGCTTGAAAGGACCAAGCGCGTTGGTTATATAAAATAGTTTCATTCAAAAACTGCATACGAGTCTAAAGAACATACACATGTATCCACAATTCATTTCGATTCGATTTCACTTGTATTTCCACACTTTTTACACTTTTTACACTTTGGACTAGTAATTTAATTTACTAACTAATTTAGCTAACTATAAGTACCTTGTATTGCCCTTTATTTAGGTCAATAATTACGACTTTTAAGTCTTAACGGATAAACGCATACATCTAAATTGTCTTCTAATCATATTTTATATCCGAAATGTTAATTTTCGCAGTGAGTGCAAAAAGTGCGTTTCAGGGCATAATAACATACTTTTACGTTGAATTGAAAGAAAGAACATTTTTTTTTGTTACATGTATTAAAATGAAAATATATCGTAAAATTGTTAAAAGTTAATAAAAGAAAATTGTAAACTGTGATGTTTATAGGATTTGCTTTAGTTAGATAAAATTTGAAATTTCGCTTAAAGTGTTTTGTAATAATTTTCGAAAATTAAAATATTTACTTCCATTTGATTAAAAAAAGGCCTATTTTTAGAACACATCTACTTGCTTTCAAACCTCAAGTGCGGTAGAGCTTTCAATAAAGCCGATAGTCTTAGTTGCTATTGCTTTAAAATTTTAGTCTTGGAATTTATTTCTCTGCCTAAATTAATTATAATAATAATAATGTTTTTAGAACAGCCAAAGTTCAATTTAAACGAAAGTAGGAAGTGGATTAAAGTAAAATGAGTGTAACAAAAATTGCTATAGTTAATACCAATTACTAGAAACGTTCCATATTATAGATAGTTTATAAGATTTCCGATATGCATTTTTACGCCAGCCAAAGACTGACAAACTCAACATGCTCTAAAGAAAAATTTATATTCAGTAAAAAACATGTCATTAGCCAATGTGTGATATTTAATATATCGTAATCTTATTTACCAATATTTTGTTTTAAGGATTTTAAGAGACCTTTGCTCTGGCGTTTTATGACTGCAACTAAAAGCTGTGTTTAAATAATTTTGGAACAATTCCTGATCCGATTTCAGCGATTAACTTGGAGATATTTGAGATTGTGTTTTTTAGAAAAAAACTCTTTGAGGTTGTAATTGTGATTTGGCAATAAAAACAATCGACTACTAATCAAAAATCTGTATATTTTTTATGGTCTCTGATGAATATTTCTAATCGTTACGAAGACATACCAAATTTGAAAAACCTCCAGAAAGGAACAATGTGGACGGGGCACTGATCACATTTATTAGTATATTTTGTGCTGCAGACTTGTAAGCTGGTTAACTGAAAAATGTAAAATTCATATAAATTATTTTATATTTTTCACACTCATCACTCTAAAGTGTTGGTATACTCATTTTGTTTTTTTCCATAATATACCTAATATCCAAGAGCAAGCTTCAGAGACCCTATAAAGTGTATAGATTCTTGATCAACGTGAAATTCTGAGTTGATTTAGCCAAGTCTCTCCGTCTGTGTTCTTTGTGTGGTGTGTGTCTTCGGCACTCCTCTGGTCGGCAAAATGAAGATATCGGGTTAAAATTTCATAGAAACATTGGAAGTTTCTGCATGCAGGTTGGTATTGCATATAAGCCAAATCGGTCGGAGCAGCAGCGCGCAATGGAGCGTAAACTGAACGCATGTCCTTTTTTTTAACAAAAATTTTTGGATTTTTCCTCGTTATTCGGAAATTATAAAAGTAAGAAGACTGAAATTTTCCGCATTTATTGTACGAACCACTCTACTCCTTACGTAGAAAAAAGGAAAACATAACCCATGCCCACATAAAGTTACAATTGATTAAATGTTGTTTACTTCACTTTTTTAAGATTTTATGCTTATTTATCAAACAAGGCCGAATGTTTGAAACTATTTTGTACACTCCTTAAATTAAGATATATTATCTGCCAAATGGGTTAATCTTAAAATGAATATAGTAGACCCCGCGATTAACTTTTTCTTAATATTATTAGCGATATGGGTAGAATGCGAAGAACTTAATGGTGGGTGTGCGAAAGTCGGCCTCCGCCGCATGTAACTTTCTTACATACTGCTAGGTTTTAAGAGAAATAGAAAAACCAATAAATTGTTTTCTGTTTAATAGAGAAGCGATCGTTCCCTCCAAACGCCAAATACTAAGGACATAACCTGCAGGCTTATTAGCAGCAGATTTCGTGAGACGAAAATAATAAATCAAATGACTAAAAACGTTTTTATTAAAATATAAACTGATGATATACAATAATAAGTTTTGTTTTTGCTATATTATTAATTATAATATTAACATAATATATAAGAAGAGGAAATGTTTACAGCAATTCATATTCAGTGATGTCTCACAGGCTGTGATAAATAAGTAAAAAGAATTGTAAAACAAATAAAAGAACTTTTGTGAAATTCATTAGTGAACTTACTCAGCATATAACTAACAACATCAATGGAAGGTACTTACAAGACAATGCAATTATAATTTCTTTGAATATTTTTTTACAACTTCTAAAACTATAAAAAAACCTTTTTTTATATATTCAATTGAAAATTTTAAAAATATTTAACAAAAAAGTTTAAATATATAAATAAAAAATTTCCAATTTAATTTAAACTAACTTCATAATTCTGATATTTTGCTTCCTTTTCTAATTTTACACTTAGTGACAGATTATTAACTAATCGCATTCATAATTAATTCTAATTAAGACTTAGATAATTCTCAGAGTTATTTGAAATTTATTCAACAAAAACTTTGATTTTGTAGGGTATTAATTCATTCTTCGCTCTTTTCGGCCTTACAAAAATGGTTCTGAATCTGTTATTCTTAAATCATTATTTAATACTTGTACGTATAATTATGTCCATGCCTACTAAAAAAAATTTTGTTAAAGAGCAAACGATCTCTTAAAAAGTCTTACTAAAGAAAAACTATGCGAGAGAGATTAAAATATTTTTTTATATATTCATATGTATGTTTTTCTACAAATAAACCTGCAAAAAATTTTCTTTAAGAAAATTCACAATATGCATTTTTACATTACAGGACGATGTGTGTGCTTAGGCGACGATGTGTGTGTGGCTATGTATAAAAGTATATATGGGAGCACGCGAATAGTGTGTTAAAAGTAAAATTTTTCTTTTGTTACAATCAAACATCAAAAATCTTACACATAATATTCATAAGTGTCACGTGGTCGACTTTGTTGCACCGCATTACTATGATCACTACTAGGTAGAGCAGCTACCTGTATTGAGTTAAAGTATTTAAGAAGCAGAGGTATTTTAAAATTACATATATAGCTACCGCTATGCCACCTTGTGTCGGTGTTTGTATGAAGACCGAATCTGTTTCCGTGGAATTGATACTCGTTTGAGGGTGTAAGCAAATAGTGGGCGTTGTCGCTGGTTCATAAATACATTCGTCCTCCTCCTCTTCGTTTATAGTTTGACCATCGATAATGGCGTCGTCCTTAAAGGAGCCACTTAAATTCGGATTCAAAATATTATTCGAAGATAATCCTGAGGCAGCGATTACTGGCCCTATTAACGAATCCACCGCAACGGTATTTGTAACGAAAGCATCCACATGAGCAGCAACGACATCATTAAGAATATCCTCTGGGTACGGAGGAGCAGCAATACTTAGAGAGTGCGAACGTCTCAGAAGCCTTAAAAGGATATATCAAGAGAACTTTAAACAATATACAGCAATTTATCACATAATCCATAAGAGAGAAATTATGTTTAATGAAAAATGTTCTCTTATCCTTTTATCTGCCTACCAAGAAGACAAACCTTAATTTTAATATGTGTAAAATTTTGATATACGGTGCGCAGATACTTCCAACTTTGATATAATCAGCAGCTAAATCTACTTCTTAAACGAAATCCTTCAATATTCTTGAATGCCTTCGAAAGCTTCATATATTTATGAAATGCAATTCTTGCTGATGTCACTGGTTTATATTACGTCTGGCAAATGTTTCTAACGTAAGGAAACACACTGGCCGGAGACACCATAAGATATATATATACATATACATATTTTATTTGCTAGACTAGGTAGCGAAGAGAGGAAGACATTTTTTGCTCGATTCATTCTACAATCAGTCGCTCTCAATTGGAAAAAAATATATGTATCAGAATATTGGCCAAATATTGTCCAGAAATTCGTTTTATATTCCAATTAAAATAAAGTCACAAGTAAAACTCATACTTTTTTATTGTTATTTATTGACGCTTACATATATATGTAACTCAACAAAAAAAAAAAAAAAAAAAAAAAAAAAAAAATGCCTTAGAAACATTTTAGAGACAAATTGGCACGATTTTAATTCATATCGTACATCATAACGGTACTGTTATTTGATTATATTTCTTTAAGAGTATACGGAAAAGTAAAGCTTACGCAAATACTCGATTACTTTTACAGAAGCGATCTTTTCAAGCTTATACTTCAGAGTTCTTAAATTCACTATATGGTTCTCGTATTGATTTCGTAAATAAAAGAAAACGCACAACATTGCGAATAGATGTGAATACGTATATCAGAACGTGGTACTCATTTATTCCGTTAGTTGGTAATACCTGAGTTGCATATATCCATGCTCAGTGCGATCGTTAGATAAACCACTGGCAGCTTGTGTACGATTTTTAATGGTTTAATTTGCTTAAGCCTGACCCGTTAATCCATATCGAACAATTTGAAGAGATAGAAAGATGAGACCTTAAGCGTGTCTTTTTGGATTTGATTTCCCGGCGATTTTTATTAGAGATGCATCTCTTTGAATACAGGCTTTTAAGCTAAATTACATTTGTGGGGGGTATAATAGGCGTACATCATCCACAAACGTAGAGTTTCTCATCCTAATTATGTCGTTTACATATATTGGAAGAAGTAACGGACATAAACTATTTGGTTGTAGTACTCTATACCTTACTGCACCCATTAATGCTGTACATGTTATTTCCTATTGCGTTGACGTTGATATAGCGAATGTCAGCTGAAGATGCTACATTAATGGACCCCAGCAACACTCATAAAGCAGGGTAAACTTGCCTCCTCACCGAAAAAAAAAATAATGTTTACAGCAGCAGATGTGCCAAGTCCATTTCTATGTACTACTAGGCATTCGCAAAAATTTTGATTAGAGACTTCTACAAGTAAAAATGATAAAGAAATTGGAAATACCAGTGTACATAAAGGTTGAATTCGATGGTTTTGTCATTTCTCCACATAAAATAATAATTTTCCATTTAATATTAATGATGTATTCACCGTATGCCAACGCTAATCATGGAGTGCTCAAAGTTCGTCATCTTCCAAATCCATTACTTTTGTTGTTTATTTGAAGAAATCTGTTGCAGAAGCCTACCACCTTCAGAGGTGATGCTCCATCATATTCCAATTGTCGGTTTAGGTTTCAACGGTTTAAAAGTAGCGTCGCGAATTGACTAAAAGTGCAATTTCTGCTCACTGCAAGAGTTGTACAAGAGACACTATTGCAGCATGAATGGGAAGTTCTGCCACACCCTTCGTACTCGCAAGAGATGATGCTTTCTGAACACCGTTTGTTCAGATCGGTGGAGCTTGGCTTGGCTGACACGCGGGTCCGCAAAGTTAGAGAAGTGCGAGAGAGAGAATTGCCAAGTTTCAATGGTAACCCGGAGGAATGGGCACTATTTATTAGCAGTTTTGAAAACTGCAGTGAGATCGGCGGATTTTCGATAGCCGAAAACCTAATGCGGCGGCATGAATCTTCCCTATGAGGAAGAGTCCGAGAAAGTTTGAAGCCAAGACTGTTAACACCTGATGGTCTCAGATGTTATAAAAGCACTAAAAACGTGCTCGAACAGAAAACATTTTAGAAAATCTTATCGAAAAGACGCGGAAAGTACCGCTATTGAAGGATCGGCTGGATACGTTAACAGATTTTACCGTAATGGTACGTAACGTACAATCGATCAGAGAGTCGTTCAACATGTCGGAGCACTTACATAATCCGATGCTAGGAAAAGAACTCATGGGCAATTTGCCGAACCAACATAAATTGAACGGAGCCATGTTACAGAAAAGCCCTGATCCGATTGTAAAAGTGTTCAGGGTTTGGAAGCAGTAAGCAAAGTCAACATGCCCAAAAATGCATAGGGAAGAAGGTCTAGAAAAAAATTTTCGTATTTGTCGTGTATAAATCGCAAATAGTCTGTCGTAAAGCAACATAAGCTTCTTCGTACATGCGTTAAACCACGTCGCCGTAATCTTTTGTTCATGAGTACAGATGCCAATGAAGAAAAGGCGATTGAAGATTTGATGGTTAACAAGCATTGCAAAGCTGGATAGCAATCAATGTCCCGAATTATGCAATTTTCTATATACCGTAAAACAACTAAAATAAATACGTTTGCCTTTTTAGATGAGGAATCGTCGGTCGGTCACTCTCCTGTACGAAAAAATTCATAAGGTGCTTAATTTGAAAGGAAAAATGCAACTTTCGACATTGAAGGATTCGTTCAAGCTCACATTAACTCACATAACGGGGCCAACGTATGTAACGGTGATATTATTGTCATCAAAAAGGAAAATTCTTCAAATGTTCAATTTTTCACCTTTGGGTTTCGTATCATCTTATACGATTGGGCCGAAAATCCTCTTGCAAGAGATTTGGTTTGGGTTGGCAGCTTGATTAACATTGCACAAATAAAAGCTTCACAGTGTTATTGTTCTTTATTGCCTGAAGCCACGAGCATAACTTTGCACACATTCATAGACGCCGAAGAAGACGCATACACCGCTGTATGCTACTTCTGAGTCACGTATAAGGAAAAGATTTGTATAGTAGCAGCTAAATCTAAAATAACTAAAACCTATTTTTATACCAACGATGGAACTCCAAGCAGAAGTCATGAGTGTTTGACTAGCGAATAAAGTCGAAGACATGAGTGAAATCAAATTAGCGTCCAGGACATGATCGACAAATTCCAAAACAATGCTGAGTTGACTCTCATTAGACATAAATTTTTTTACGTGGAAACATCGATGCCCGGCCAAGATGTAATAACTACGGTAATACCAGCGAAGAGGAGTTACGTCATCCCATTCTTTTCACACATAAAACAACGCATGTTACAGTCAACGATAAATATTTCTTTTTTTGGACGAAATTATATCGTGCAACTGACACTCTTATGCTGTATCTAAACCGCCTAGGAGTTAGTGCCAAACGTATGAGGCCAACAGAAACTTTCAACCGTGTTGAAAGTGTCAACGAACAACGTCTTATAGAAGAGTTAGATAGGTTTCTTTGTAACGACGGTCTATTAAGCGCTCAGAGAAGAGCGAAAAGAATGCATTGCAATAAACCCATCATTTTACCGTGTAACTGTCATATAATACTTTTAATTGTAAGCCATTATCATGAACATTGTTTTCATAAAGCGATTAATAAAATAAGGAGCATATTCTATATTAAACACCTACGGGTATTGTACAAAAAAGGTACACCGGGAACGACAATTTTGTGAAAATAACCAGTGCCTGCAGACCATATTTATTCGCGGACGATATCTTTCTGGTGATGACTGGAATAAACCTAATATCGCCGAATCGAATATTAATTACAGTCTTGGGCAACTTCTTGAATAATCACAGGTAAACTCCCCTCTTATTAACCCGTCTAAATCCAAACTATACGCTTTGGTAACGTGAATCAAAATCTGGCTCAAATTAATTTCCTTATTGGTTGTTCAAGTATAGATATTGTTAATCTACACGTATGCCTGATCAGCATCTCATCTTTGCAAAACATATTAATTTCATTCAAGGCAAAGTTGTGGGTACCTTGCGCACACTTTATTCCAATTATGCTTATTTGCCACAATCAATCAAATGTAGACTCGCTCATGCTCTGCTGATGCCGCAGATTCTGTATGGCCTGGAAGCAATACCTGCTAACGCAGCCTGTGCCTCCTCTAGGCTTAGTCGTATTCTGAGTTCTGTTGCACGCTATTCGCAGAAGCGCTCATATCTCGGAAAATATTAAGCGGTTTTTTTGGGGTTAGGGTTATTATGGTATGGTAGGTATGGCTGGCCTCTCAATCTATGTGTTATCTTTTCTTTTACACGGTCTACCAGAAATCCAGATGTCGGTGTTTTGAGCGGCCTTTTCTTGTTTGAGTTGCGAGTAGCTAAAATTACTCACCACTTGACCTACGTGTATCTTCCGACTCTAATAATGCCTTTCGGGTGAAGCTACATCGGTATATTTCCACTTTGAAGTAGCGTATGCTCTCATCGTCAATCATCACTAACCATTTATCTAAATGATCTTGAACTAAGTTTGAGTTGAAGTAAGCATTCCAGCCTACTCATTGTGTCGATCTATACTGCTGATAGCATCTCAACATTTGGAGTAGCCATATGTTTACGTTTATTAAGTTTTAATTTCCGCTTGGGACACGTTCTAAAGTACTGTTGTCATGGCGTATTTAATTTTTTCATTTATGGCTGGGGAGCCGATTTGCAAATTTAGTTATTGTAATCTATACGCGAATTCAACTTGTGGAGTACGTCTCCTCGGCTATGCATCATTGCTTATGCTTGTAATAATAATCTTGACTTTAATGATAATCTTGGAATTCACCTGATTCTTATACTTTCTTATTGAGTATTTTATCATTTACTACAATACACTTAAGTTGACCTTTCAATAGCTTTTGTATTGAATCTTTTATTAACTAAATAAAAAAATGAATGTGGTTTAATGAGCTTTATACGTACAACCAAACTACTAGCATATATCCGATGAGTCCTTCTGAAATTTGAAGAAAGAAAGTTAAGCTGATAGGCCCTAACTAGGTAGACAATTATCAGTTTTCGTTTTATCCCTCACAACATACACTTGTTATTTTACCTTTATAAGTATATACGCAAATTTTCTTATCGAAGAATTACAGAGCCCGTTCAAGGCGGATTTGATCTGACGTCAGTCATTACATTTGTTAGAACACAATATACGGTTTACATCGAAAAGGAATAAAAAAATATTTGAAATAAAAGTTTACAATAGGGGTGTGTGATTCAAAAAGAAAACGACGAAGTAAAAAGATTAGCCTCATAGTTAAGCAGCTTTTGAATGAGCGCTAAAGTGTATTTTGAATTAAAGTGTATCACGAATAAGTGTTATCTTTTCTGTGCAATTTTCCGTCATCATTTAATTTATGCAGAACATAGCATGAACAGAAGGCCAAACGTTTAATCAAAATATTCAATGTCTTAGTGGTTTCTCGTTAAATTAAATAAAGATGATGGATGAACTCACGCAGGATTTTAATAACATTTTCAGTTATTGTATATTATGAATGTTCAACATGACTTCCAAGCAATATTTACTCCGAACACACTAACATATTTAACTAATTGAAGAATTTCGATAAAAGCTTCATGACTAAATCAATTTAAAATTTTTTTTTATTCGTATCTATTCGTATCTCTTGTAATTATTCTATAGCTAAGTTTAAAAACAACTGACTTCTACAATTAGTCAATGCTAGTTTTATTAATCGGTCCAGTTTTTTGTTTTTGTGATTCACACGCTAGCAAAATAAGCCGCATCTGTTCAAAACATTTGGAAAATACTTACAGCTTAATTAATGCATATAAATTCGCAATTAAAGAACTGTAACTATAAAAAGTAAACACTCTCATGGCCGCTAAGGCAGTCTTTTATTCCAATTTTTCTCTTATTGAAATTTAGATCAATAGATAACGACTAGATTTATCATTATATAAGTGGACTATGCTTGACTCCAATTCCAAATAAATTAGTAGAAATTTAATTGACTTACCTGAGAATCGGCCAAGACCATATTGACCGTCTGGTGATATTTGGATTTAATTGGGCTGCCAAATGCGGTGGAAGATTAGGCGTGCGATCAAAAGGATTTATACGACGGGCGGATGGGATTAGCACTACAAAAGTCAAAACGATATTTCAAGAAGATTACATTTATTTCAACATTGATATACTTTCATCATCGGTGGTATGATCACCGCCGCCACCTCCATCGCCGCCCACACTATCACCACCTCGCCGAAATGTTCCATGCCTCGTTGTAACAGAGTTGTTACCGTTGGAAATAGCATGTGTCCGAACCATATTGCTGGATTGCTGCAACAAAGGAGTAGTGTCATCATCAGTGTCAGTCACGCTATCCAATGAAGATTGTCGATTCCGAGGCGATCGGGCTTCGCCTTTTGTAAAAACCTTACGCTTACATATGGGACAATCGCGTTTGTTTTCGGTTAACCAAGTGTCAATACAATCGCTATGATAAGCTGAGAAGAAAGGAAAACAAAGGGTTTAGTAAAAATTTAACGTAATTATTATAATTACTAACGATGTTTGCACGGTAATACTCGAAGCTTATCGCCTTCAACAAACTCATCCAAACAAATGACGCAAGTGTCATACGCGAGATCACTATTTTTCGTGTATTTCAAAATTGGCAATTTTTTCAGCATGCGTTTGGGTAAACGATAACGTCTCAAACGTCTCTCTTCGCGTATGCACTTGTAAATCATATAAAATATCTTAAAGATTTAACGGGAATTTTTTGTTAAAAATAAATACGTGCGACAATCTTGTTCCTATTACCATTATAAGAAAACAAAGACCAATCAATATAGAAAAGGGTAAAATCAATTGTGTGTTAATGTTAAAAGGCAGTTCGTCGTTGATAACCAATACGATTTCTCCTAATGGATGTGATTGCAAACTTATACCTGTGGTGTGACCAACGAAAACGGATGGTATCCGAATACCTGACGAATTTAGTGCAGACATGTGTTCTAAAAGATAAACTTCATAAGAAATTGAATAAAATATATTCAAGATTTAGTTACTTTACCCAAATCATCACTATCGTTGTTGTAAATAATTGCAGCATCGAAATTCGCCGCTTGAGCATAGCGTACTTTTCGCTCAAAAGTGCATTCGTTGCCTCCTCTACATAAATAAAAGGCGCATAATAACAGAAATACCAATGAAATCAAAAAAAAATAATAACCGATTTTCAAAATTAGAAGTACGCGAGAGGAATTGAATCTACTTAAACCCGCATTTCTTTAAAATAAATGCAATCGATTAGATACATTTACTAAGATTGCAGCGTGAAAGGAAGTATGATTTACTTTGCTTGCATTTCGATTTTGCCAGCCATATAACATGATACATTTTGGGGCTGTGCCGAATAAACTTGCTAAATTACTTACTTAGCCGACAATTAACGAATTCGCAAGAATAGACAATTTGGCACCAAAGGAATGACACTTTTGCTGCGACAAAAGCTATCGTAACGTTTGCAAAGATTTTTAAAAAATAAATGAAAGAAAGTAAGTTATCTAGCTTCAAAACTGCTGCCCGAAAAACACAAACATTGTGATTTTTTTTAATTGCAACTGGAGTGTACGCTATACGTAATTTGCAATTCTTGCCGCCTTATGAATTGCAACAAAAATTGGCAGACAAGTATAGTCAAATCGATTCGCACAATTCGGTTTGCGAATAGCCCTAATCTCGCAAGAAATTAACATCGCAATTTTCAAACCACTTTTCAATGACAGCTACGACTAAATTACCCTTCGTGAAGGCTCAAGTTTAAGTGGTTATTGATGCTGGTACTAAGCAATCTGTAGTAAACGGTGTTAATATCTGTTAATATCGTTTTTTTGTATTTTTTTGCAGAAACTTGCTTTACCTTGTTTTCTGCTATCGGCGAGATGCACTTATCTTATGGGACGTTGTGTCTAAATTTTAATAGGCGTTACGTGAAAAAAGTAAAAATCCAAAAACAATAATAAAACAGAGAAAAGAAAATGGCGAAGTAACGAAAGATTGGAGTGTTCAAATGTCACCGGCATTGTCTTAAACTTATGCAAAAAAGCTTAGCAACGAAAGCATACTTTTACTGTGGCTATTCCAAAGTCCGAATACCTATGTAAAGCGCTAGGCCGAACACGAGAAAAATTTCTTTCACTGATATAATGTAAATTGACACAACCCATAAGGCCGATACTGTAATTGTGATTAAAAATACCACCATCCTTTGCATTTATCGCAAAACATACCATCAATCAGGACAATTGAAGCATTTGGCTTACGACCTTGCTCCTCTGTGTTTAAGGTGGCAATTACGTAGCAGGATACGTATAACAGTGGTCACCTCCCAACCACTAATCCACTGTTGCAGGTAACACTAAAGAATGTAAATAAAAAAGCCGCTCACATCGAAAGCATTACCTTAAGTGAAACATTAATTTCAACAGTATGTTCTTTGCAGATTAAAATTACATTTTTACATCGCTCCAATATTTACTAATTATTTATTTACAAAAAAAAAAGAAAACCTATACTAAAAACAAACTGTAACTAAGCTCAATATAATTACATCATTTCATATTATTGAGCTTGGAAAACCATAGGCGATAATCCATCAAACAGTTTATGCTGGTTTATTAGGTTTAATAAGCTTAATTATGAACATCGAATACGTTCCAGAGAAGTGCTGTGCTTCTATAATATCATTTCTTTTGGTCAAGGTTTTTCATAAAACCGAGTCCATGTAAGTATCAACTAACAAAGGCAATGGAAAATTCCATAAAAATAGATCAAATTAAACTTAAATTATTTTTGTGGACGACACGACTAAGCTAGGCTTATTGGATGTCTTTGGTGATAATATGAATGAACAAGTAAATAAATAAATGATGCTAACCTTTCTATGATAGCTGCAAATTTTGCATTGCTAGGAAAGTTTCTTTTTGATTTTGGTGGCGGGTTAATTGAATGACAGGCGTACTTGTCCTCTTCCGCTCCTATACCAAAAACTTTAAGACCATTAGCTGGTATACTCCCACCGAATTGTGCTGGCATGTCATCGTATTCCTCAATCAACTGAAAGTCAGTTTGAAATTTAAATTAATAATGTTTTCAATAATTTAAAATAAATTACGCTGGTGTAATTACAATAACCTGATTGTTTATGCGTCGATAGACCAAGATATGAGCATTAATTATGTCGAAGAGCAAAAAACATACATTTAACAATAGCATCGATAATGTGTATGTGGTTGTTGCCATTATTGTGACAGCAGCCTGTTTTATATGTTATGTAATAACGATCGGAAAGGGGAATATGTTTATATGATAACCGACCCCAGCAATCTCCTTTATTGTTCGAAAGCTTTAGTAGCAACTTTTTTTCGTGTAATTGTATCCTCTCTCTATCCCTCTCCCGTTTCACTTAGATGTCCGTAATTATAAAAGTGGATCAAACTGCGTTTTATATCGTTTTATTAATGAGGTCTGTTCTTGTTGTCTTTGATGTTGTCGCTTTCGTTGCTGGTATTTTTGCTCTTGTAAAAGTAGTTGTTCTTTGTTCTTGTTGTTCTGGCTTACAAGTTGCATTTGCAGGCCCGTAAAATTTTTGGCAATTATTTTGCAATTTTTACTGAAACGAGATAAAGTACGAGAAAAAGGTAGTTTTCTTTGAAGAAAAAATATATATGTAAATTGCAAATAATCAAAGGGATTGTGCCCTAACCCACTTAAGATTTATGTGGATGCGTAAATTGACCGATAAGGATTAGCCTTGCCCTGATAACTTCTTTGATCTACTAAACCTACACGAATTATAAATTACCAAAAATGGAAAATTTTGTTTGCATCTATTGTGATCATTTCATAACGACTGCCTTTTTTTCAATATATCGAGACGTTTTCTGTTTCATCATGAAACAGTAGTTGCTTTAACAACAATGCAGCAATATGCAGCAATTCATCTAAATTTATCAGTACCCTAAATCGACGATAACTTAATTAACGTTAAAATAATTGTCCAACCACTATAAAGATCCCATTAAGCACAAGTCGAACGCCGAAAAACTTGGATCGATCTACTTCAATAACGGAACGGAATGAAAGTAGCGAATCGAATTTATTGTTGTCCCGGTGTTTGTTGTGTGACGGTGTTGCTTTGACTGAAGAACTAAAATTATGTCACAACTGCGGGTGATCTTGTTTCAAGTCATGGAAAAGATGTAGATAATGACTAATTTTTTCCCAGCGGAGTTTATTGCTATTGCCTTCTGTGAAAAACTTAACCACTATAAACGTAATCATATCAACGAAGGTCAACTATCCCATCCACAGTGTACCGACAATGCATACTTTTTCTCGATGATCGAAGCGGACACTACCAGCCCACATCTTTTCATTCATGTCTCAAAAAGAGATCGCAGCGACAAATATGCGGCATTATCACTGAAATAATCGTCGCGTTATTTAGTATGATCTCATAACGTATATACAACCTCCATTAAATAAAAATATCGGCTTCAAATTTTGTAAAAACATTAAAAGTTGTTACAGGCAGCTTTACACTGAATACGAAGTAAATAGGCAACAGCAACGCTGTTTTCAAAACAGAAATATGGTTATTTTGCCGATTACTCATAAAGTTCAACAATAATTAATCACACATCCCATTTCAATATAAATGTTGCGGCTAAAAAAATCACCCATAAACCGAAATTAATTTTCTTACTTGTTTAAATGTTTTCACTTCTGTGATAATCTTTCCAAACGTATTACGATCATTTTCCAGCTGGAACTGTAAAACTTGAAACTTTGCTTTGAAAGTTTCACAGTCAAGAAAGGTCGATGCTCAAGACACATGACTAAATTAATTCGAAAGCTACCAATTATACGAAGAGCATTTATGTTAAGTTATGGGTCGACGCACACTTCTCGGTGTTACGAAGGTATGGTAGAAAGTGGTGTAACTTCGTTTTCTTGTAGCAGGCATAAAGATCGTATTTATTTACATTGTTGTTGTTGATAACGTATTCATTCAATATTTACTTTAAAAATTTATGCTAGACTTATACTAACAACAATATTTTTCACACAGTTCTGTCACTTCGCTAGTCGCCATGTAGAGGGACATGTTTAAATCGATTCATCATTCATAAACTACAGTCGCCTAAAGTTCGTTAACATTTCACATTGAGAATTTCACTTTTATATAAAATTTAAAGAACAAAAGCCGTTTATTACCGACTGCAACTAGCTTAGCTTTGGCATTGAAAACATTCGCATATTTACTTTTGAAATCTGTTTTTGATAATATGCAAGAAGCAAAATCTGATTAAGAATGAAACAAAGTGGAATAAAAAGAAATGATATTAAAAGGTCAATCACAGTAAACAAGTAATAAAGAAAAAATAATGGAAGAAGAAATAAATTAATGGCAAAACAAAAAACTAAAAAAAAAATGTATATAAAAAGGGGCTACACTTATTTATTTATAAACATTTTTTTTTGCCTTAGTCGAGGTTGTGGACCTTTTAGAACGTGAAAAAATTCATTATAAGAAGGAAATTTTTTCTTAGAAATTTCGACCTTTTCACCACGTGCTTCAAAAAGGGCTTATGATCCATGAATACCTACTGGGAAGTTGCAACCTAATGCCTATGCTAATGTTTATTTAAAATCGGTTCGAAAGAAATATATATATTAGTATACCTGCATCATCATAACCGTTAAACGGTTAAGAGGGTGAAAGCGCTTCCAAAGGTATAGGAGATTCTGCCAAAAAGGCAAAATTTTGTGAAAAATCTTTTGATATTAATTCTGACTTCGGTTATGGAGTTACATTTGCATTTTCGTGTTGTTTTCATTTTCATTGCGCAGCAGGGAGGATGTAAAATGTACGAATTTACCTTTGACAAATGTAGCAAAACCCACACTTTCGGAAATAAAATCATCGAGGAAAAAAGAGTAAAATAAAATATTTGAACACGGAGGAATACTTTTATGGTGCTCGGATGGCACCTCTAATAAAAAGAGAATGCAAAATTCTTTGCCTAAATAGCAAGTCTGAAACACATTTAAAACTTCAAATGTCTTTTCCCGAAAACGCGGTTCTTTAAAACTAACGGACCCACTTGTAGAATTTTCGTAACTATACCCACCACCGTAAGATGGGTGTGCACTTATTTTGTATTTTTCCAAAATATATGTAACACTCAAAAGAAAGCTTCAGAGACCCTATAAAGTATATATATTCTTGATCAACGTGAAGCTCTGAGTTGATGTAGCCCTGTCCGTCCATCTGTGTGTCTGTATGGTGTGTGTTGGCACTGTCCTAGACGCAAAAACCAAGATATCGGCTTCAAATTTGGTAGAGACATTAGATGTTTTTGCGCACTGGTTAGTACTAAAACGGGTCAAATTGGTCAGAGCAGAAGCGCGCAGTGGAGCGTAAACTAAGCGCAACTCCTTTTTTTTAACAAAAATTTTTGGATTTCTGCTCGTTATCCGGAAAATAATTGTATATCTTTAGGTGCAAAAATGGAACAAATCGGCCATACCCACACAAAGTTACAAGCGATTAAATTACCCTTTTTTCACTTTGTTGAGGTTTTACGCTTATTGATCATAAGATAAACAAGACAGAATGTTTACAACTATTTTGCATACTCCTCAAACGAAAATATATTATCTGCCTAAAAATGGATTAATTTTAAGATGAATATGGTAGACACCGCGATTGACTTTTGTTATTATTACCAGCGATATGGGTCAACCAAAAAATAACTTGGAGAGTAGAATGCGAAAAACATAGTTTACTCACTTATTCATATTCAGATTGTTTACAATATTTCTAAATTAAATTCTGAAAACCGGTACATTTCATTAACTTAAACATTAATTAATTTTATGTTACTAATAAAAGTTTACTTGTCTTGGATTAAAATTGACCGTCTTCATTCAAATGTTCGAAAATAACTCAAAAATCAATATTTGCAAAATCCCCTACGTAATTCTGCGGCTGGACAGGAATGAAGATTAATAGCAACGCTCTCAGCAACATTACTGAAGTATTAGAAGTCAGAAGGCAATTTTTTTTGTGTAGTTTGCGCGACTTTACAAACCCTATTTTATAAATTGCAAGCCAAGTCCACAGTAAAGCATTTCTGCTTCTCTAATTAAAAATTTGTGCATTTTTTGTTCAGTACTCATAAATTGTGAAAGATAAGAGGCTGAAGTATTCTAAATTTAATTTATGGAGAAGCCTACAACTTCCGTTCAAAAATGGAAAAATAGGTCACGATCACACAAAGTTATAAGTGATTAAAATTCCACTTTTTTATTTTTTTCTAAATAAAACCTGTTTAAAATCCAACTTTCTAAAGTTCTTAATGCTGATTCATCCAGCATAAAGCCAGGACTTGCAAAGCTCCTTACATAAAAGATACCCACGAAAGTTGCCCCGGTATTAAAATTTTGTAGTTTTTCAAATATAAGTCTTTTGTCTAACACTTAAATATACGTCTAACAACCGCCTCAAAAGTTATTATACTTTTCAACTGTATTTGCCTTAGCTCCTACGTTATTAAAAAAACATCTATTCAATTTTTAAAATTCGTTGGCGGCAACCAATTTTGTCCTTTCTAACAATTTTCACGAACTTGAGCATTCTAATGACGAACGGGCCTTAGTGCAACTAGACAAATTGCAAATTTGTGCGAGCGAGAAGTCATACAATTATACACCTTTCAAAGGCTTAAGCACAATCGAATGTTGTATACGCCGATCAAGAATCCACACCTGTGGTCCCCAATAAATTACACACATCTGACAAATGTAACAAAAAAAAACTTATGACAGTTAACAAAAATTGATCAAAGAAACACACTTATAAAGATGAGCTATTTACTAGATGAAACATAAATTTTTTATAAAGCAAAACCAAAGCACTTACGCCAAAAAAGGGAAGGAACTTCGTAAAAACGCAAGCTAATTTATTAGTATGAAAATAATCAGAATTCAGCACTGCAAGCATGGAAACGCTGGATTATAAAACCGACAACAAATTTACAAGTGTAGCTATATCGTCATACTAAGGGTTAAGCCATTTTTATTAAATGACGCATGTGGATTGGCCTCTTTTTTTTAGTAACCTTTTAAACCTAATTTCTTATCAACATATCATAATTTCTTGATGAAGTTAATAACGAAGTTGATTCATTGCCTTCAATATTGGGACCAGAATAAGCCGACATTTGTAAATTGAAAAGGAATGCGCTTTAATTTTAAGAGAAATCCAAAACAACTGGCACTTCGAGACCAAAAGTTAACCTATATATTCTAGACGAATTTATCTTTTTGATATTTGCTGCTATGAAATCACATAACATACCAAGCACAGCATTGCAAATTGCAAATGTATTCAAATTTTAGCGGCCAACACAATAGTTTTGATAAAAGCTCACAAAACATATCAAAACCTTAAAAACTAGTACAACTTAGAAATGCATGTATATACAACAAATTTAGTACATCCACGTTCAGTGAAGTTTGCAATGAACTGAATGCTTGAAATGCAATGAAAGCAACGAAACAGATGAAAATGCAAATTAATTTTATTTAGCACCTAGAGAAACCATTTATTGATTTTAGATTAGATCACAACAGCAACATTTTGTATAAAATTTGTTTTCATAATTTAATTTTCTCACACTATCATTTTTAATATAAACGGATATAAGCTTTTGTTTTATACCGCTTTTTTTTCGTTTCTTCATTTCGAAAGATGTAGGTTGTATGAATAGAAGATCATTCTAGGTATTGTTGATAATTTTTATACTAGTTAGAATTGCAAAGTATATAAAATTTCACGTTGTACGTATTAGAAATGAAAATAAACAATAACGATTTTAGTTTTTATTTAAAACTTAGAGAGTCCACGCCCCGAAATAGTATGATTTAAATGAAAAATAGGTATACCACGCTAACTATTTTGTCAGTTTGTCAAACACTTTGTTAGTTATCCAATTTCATTCAATTATTATCAAAAATTAGGTTCAAGAACCTTTTATTAGAACATATGAAAGCAATGAAACCAAAGCTTCGAAAAAAAAACTTAGAAGAACATTTAATTGCCCAAATACAATCTGCAATACCAGGATTGTGTTGACAGGTCTTCGGTTCAGATGGTTTCGTCTGGTTCTTCCGCTTGTTGCGAAGGTTGTCACTTAATTCAGGCTCGCTCTTTCAATCCTTCTCAATTGGAACCAAAATCAGACTTGTCTTTGCATACATATTGTTATGTAGATCGTACTTTAGCGCTGTTATCGCTCAGTACTCATAAGAGAAAAGAATGAGAAAAAACATCATTTTTCTCTTTAGACTTTGTAGTAAATTTTGATATTAAAAAAAAAGCAAACAAGATATCAATTTCCCTATAAAACAGTTTCGTTAAGACGAAAATGTTTGCGAGATGTGTTGGTTACTGTACCTATTGTATTTACAAATCTTGAAGTCCTTCACTCAGATTATGAATTGAAATGAACGTCGAGCCTTACTAAATACCAATACTTTCAAAACGTAAGCTTTGCTAACACAGTTTAAGAGTTGATATAAAGTTAACAATCTTTCCGCACCTATACGTCATATGCAACTCCAAATTTATAAAGAATTAAAGCTTGCTATCTGGAAATCAAGCATTCCGACAATTTTAAATCTCCTCGTCCTGCCTAGTTTGACAGCTTTTCAATAAGGCTCAGGTTAAATCGCAATAAAACCATTTTTTTCTTTTAAATCCTTTCAAAACTTCAGATGGAATACCAAAATAAATAAAATCTAATAATTACTTTTTGTTTTTTAAATATCTAAAAATTGCTGACAAAGAGTATCTGAAATCAAAAGTTTGAATGCAAACCGTTAACCTTTAAAGCCAAAGCGTTTATGCAACTGTAACATAATATTAATTCTACTGATTCACAGTCCCGCATTGGGCTGTGAAGGGCATAAGCTCTTCACACCAATAACATGGGATTAAAAGATGAAGAATTTCGTAATTTGAAAATGGACATCCTATTGAATGGCCTAGGCGACTTAAAAAATCCGTTGTGAAAAAAAGCCCTTCTGTTGGTACAAAGTCAAACCCATGTACGTGCATAAAAAAGTTTCTTTAAGTGACTAAAGTTCGACTGAGTGGCCGCGTAGGCAAAGGATATCAACTGACAACTCAATGGTGGTGGTTCAAGTTCAAATGTGATGCAGTTTCCAATAAATCGTCAGTGCCTTCGATTATAGTCTTAGAATTTATTCCTTTAGCTAAAATGCATATAAAAAATGACAATAATAAGTAACTAAAATATTCGGCAAAATACCTTCGATCAAAAACTATGTAATCCACTGCATTTTACACTCCCAGCGACGGACGAACTAGAAATTGAGGCAATTCATTTTCACAAAAACCCTCGAAGTGTGGCATAATTTTTTTTTTGAAACGTAAACAGAACTGTGTTGACGATTTCAGGGTAATAAAATCCTGTGCACGTGAACCTTATAATTGAAATTCATATTACTTGGTCAGACTCTAAACAAGAAAACCTGTGCACGCGAAACACAACACAACGGTGCCATTTTGTGTCCCAGATATACTCCCAGACGCTGTTCGCATTGTAATATAATTTCATAATGAGATTTTTCAATGGTTGAATGATGAGTACAGAGTGACAAAGTTTACAAAAAGGGACTTATTTTACGCAATATTCACCCATATTTCCCTTTGGAACACTGTCACTATTCAAAAACGGTGAGATTAAATTAAAAAAAAATAATCCAATACACTTAAATTTCACTAGCAGTTAATAATAATAACAGAGAACAAAGCAACTGTATGTTGATAACGTCTGCGAACGTTTTTTGAGTAAATTTCAAATAATAAGAATAGAGTTATCCGTCAGTGAGTGACATACAAAAATTAATTTGGAGGTTTGTTGACCTTTAATTTTTACTTTTTTTCTAATTACGATTAGATCGACACTAATTATTGGGTCAGATAGTGCTTTAAACATTTTTATTTCTCGCGAGATCCTAAACACACATTATTTCAAGGTTAAAAAAGAGACATGTACTCATGGTAAACACAACAACCGCAAACCGGAGTTGAATTGTACTCAGGAATGTTAAAATTTGTTAAATTCTACAAAAGCATGCAAATATGTAAAGTTATGCAGGTGCAAGTAAAGAACGAACTTTACATTGCAGCAAAGAACTTGCATATATATGTACACATACAAGACTTTGATAAAGAGTGGGTGTTGCAAATTGCTTTCCTTTTTCATATCTCATCCTTTTTGCTAATTGAATTATTTAGACGATAAATATTTACTTACTTTATAGTTCTTTATTAATCTATCTATTAAAATATCTTTTCACAAGCACTCTATATGTATTTTGCTTTATTTTCGCACTTTTTGTTTTCGCTGCCACTACCGCTTGTTTGCTCCTGTTTCCCCTCTCGCAGCCAACAATTCTTTTTTAGTTGAATGTTTTTCTTTTGCGTATTTTATTTTGAAAACCTGCAGATGTAATACTATTTTCGTTTACGCAAAGATTAATTTTTGCAATTGCATTTTAGCTTGTGTAAGCCAATTATTAACATTAACGGTTGCTTATTTATTTTCACTCCAGCTACTATTCTCCCGTACTTTTCAATTTTTTTCAATAGAAAAGCAAAAAAGCAGCAGTCTCCATATTTATTTAGTAAGCAATGCTGCCAAATTACAAACTTTTGAAATCGGCTGTAAGCAAATCACTGCGAGGTTTTTTACACAGCATGGCAAATTTTCGATGATTGGTTTGCTGAAAGCAAGAAGAAGAATAATTAAATTAAACATATTCAGTGATTATAAATTTTCGAGAAGACGAGGAAGCAGCTGTTTTTATTCTCATAAGAGCAAAGCAAAGTTTATTACAGGAACGAGCTGTATTTGGACATGCAAACCACAAATTTTATTTATTTTATTGACTTGGTTCATCTTAACTCAACATCCAACTAAAAAAGAAAAAAAGGCAGAGCTTATGAAACAGTATGAGTTCACAAACGATACGCACCCCAGTGTCACAGATTATTCATAACAAAGAAACTGTGGATGATGAAGAACCCAAGAAGAAATCACGCGAGGATTGGCGCAAGGCCAAGGAATTGGAAGAAGCTCGTAAAGCAGGTACAGCCCCAGCAGCTGTGGATGAAGAAGGTCGTGATATTAATCCTCATATACCGCAATATATTGCCAACGCCCCTTGGTACTATGGAGCTCAAGGCCCCACCTTAAAACATCAGCGCCCCCAGAGAGAAGAAGATAAAGGAGAACTATCTAAAAAGTTTCCGAAGGGTCTAGATACTTCTCGATTGGTTACTAAATTTCGTAAAGGAGCCTGTGAGAATTGTGGCGCTATGACACATAAACGTAAGGATTGCTTGGAGAGACCACGTAAAGTTCTTGCAAGATATGCGAATTCTTTAGTCGTTCACGATGAACATATTGTGCAAGATGAAGCCGTAAATTATGATGAGAAAAGAGATCGTTGGAGTAGTTACGATCCCGCCAATCATCGCGAAATTATAGAAGAATATGAGAAGGTGGAAGAAGCTAAACGTCAATTAAAAGCCGAAAAATTAAAGAATGGTTAGTAGAAGCCTTCAACACTTTTATTCCTTTGTACATTGCCAGAAACTGTTTATTAAATTAGATCCTGATGCGGAAATATCTGATGATGATGGGAATGAGGATAAATATGTTGACGAAGTGGATATGCCAGGAACTAAAGTGGATTCAAAACAACGTATTACAGTACGCAACTTACGTATACGTGAAGATACCGCCAAGTACCTCCGTAACTTGGATCCTAATTCGGCCTATTATGACCCCAAAACCAGATCCATGCGTGACAATCCAAATCCACAAGTACCAGCAGAAGAGTAAGTGTTAAAGTATTATGATTATAAATGCAATATGGTCTTTAAACACGCATATAACGCAATTCCAGGTCAGAGTTTGACGGTGAAAATTTTGTTCGGTTTACCGGAGACACCACAAAACACGCTGGTGCTCAATTGTTCGCATGGGAGGCTCATGGTAAGGGGGTCGATGTTCATTTATTGGCTGAGCCTACTAAGCTGGAGCTATTACAAAAGGAATACGAGAAAAAGAAGGAACAGTTCAAATCAAGTGTAAGAATCGGAGGTCAATTTAGTTTAATCATTCACAACGTAGCGTCTTTTGGAGATTGTTTTGAAAAATCTCCTACTAACCTTATGAAATCCAAAAAATATAATAACGAACATATTAGCCATTGGGATTTTCTCTCATAAACAGTGCCTCTACTAGTGCTATATGACTTTATTCTCTTTATCTTAAAAATTTGTACCATTGTATAACTTTGTTTTACCGTGCAATAATATATTTTATTTTGTTTCAGACGAAGGAACATATTGTGGAAAAGTATGGCGGTGAAGAACATTTGCAAGCACCACCTAAATCGCTATTGTTGGCCCAAACCGAAGATTATATAGAATATTCGCGTAGCGGCAAAGTAATCAAAGGAATGGAAAAACCCAAAGCTCGCAGTATATATGAGGAGGATATTTATCTTAGTAATCATACTACCGTATGGGGTAAGGGGTAAACGGGCGCCGCTTTTTCAAACTTTACAAAATGGGACGTCGCTTTTTTAAACTTTGACAAAAAAGGACGTCGCTTTTTCAAAAAGGGACGTCAGTTGTCCAACTATGATTATTTCGTATTCTTTTTGTTCATTTTCATTCGAAGCGTTTCCATTTATTGAAAGCAACTCTCTTTTCTCTCTATTTAGGTAGCTATTGGAATGGTCGTTGGGGTTACAAATGTTGTAAATCGTTTATAAGAAACTCATATTGCGTGGGTGCGAAAGAGCCTGAAGTTACGGCGGATTTAATGATATATGGTCTTGAAAAAAATAACTCATTAAAAGGGGACAACACCAACAGAGAAGTTAGTGAAGATAGTAGCAAGAAATCTCTAGAAAAATCGTCGTCATCTTTGACATCATCATCATCTTCTGAAAATGAAGAAGAGTTGCAGAAAAGAGTCTCGACGCATAAAAAGACCAAAAAGAAATTGAAAAAACGTGAAAGAAGAAGAATGAAAAAACTAATAAAAAAGGAAAAGAAACGCACAGAAGAACAACAAGAGGCGCTAAACGAAAAAATTGCGGAATCGCTAACAATGCAAGAAATTATGGACGACCGTAAAAGACCTTATAACAGTATGTATGATATCAAGGCACCTAGTGAACACGAAATTGAGGAATGGCAACGTAAACGAACAAGAGCTGAAGATCCTATGTTGCAATTTATAGATAAATAATTGTACGCAATGAGAATTGTTTTCACTTCTTCCATAAATTAAAGATAAACCGGATAACAAAATTAATAAATAAACATACTTTCCCATAGAATCGCTTCTCCTATACAAATTTATGATACTTCTCAGACAGATAACTTCAAAGTTTCTTTGCCAGAGTCAGGGGTCCCAAGACTTAAGCATTAAGTTGTCATGCGATGAAAGCCAAAAAGACATAAAAAATTCAGCTAAAGGTAGGCTGACGCAACGTTAAAGGAGAGAAAGCTTGCAGTTGAACAACACGACATTGGATAAACGGCAGCTGAAAATTTTTTTCGTGTCTTCTCGGTGTTAGTGGAAAAAGACGAGAATAAAAAAAAGGAAAAAAGTGTGAAAATGAAAAGAAATTTTTGAAAATTTTTAAGCAAAATATATATAAAAGTTTTTTCCCCAGATTAACACTTAAAACAACATCAGCCTGTTGCCCTACGCTGACAGAGTCTGATCTGGTTACTATAGATATAGATGATTTTGAAGATTTTTATATGAATGCCACCGAGTATAATAAGAGATGGAGGAAGGGAGGGAATGAAGTCGATTTATCTCCCAAAAGAGGAGTTAAAACTAAAGCTTTAATAGTGTTCAGAAAAAACCCTTCTGATTTGGAATAGTTTTGGGTGCCACGATATCAATCAATTGCTTGTTCTTCTTCCTTTTTGGTGCAGGTTGCTTTTTCTTCTTCCTTTTTGGAGCAGGTTGCTTGTTCTTTTTCCTTTTTGTTGCAGGTTGTTTGTTCTTTTTCCTTATTTGGGCAGCGCAATTCCCCGTAACGAATTTAACAAAGACAGCATTAACTTCTTCGAATGTCACAATCAATTGCTTACTAGCAGTTAGTATTTTAATGTAGATCCCGAGCGACTTCGAATTGATACTTGTTTTTGTGTTCAAGATCCATTCTGTCTTAACCAGAATGTGGCAAAATCTATAAACGGGACTAATAAAGAATATTTTGAATATTACCTGGCTAATGTTCCGTTCGCAATTTTACCAATGAAAGTAAACGAAAGAAATTATGTTGAGCCAAGTGGAACCTTGAATGGCAAATCGGAAAATCACAAAAGCTTGATAGCGACAAGCAACAGCATGCTAGCTTTGTATTCAGCCCTAGCCGCAACGATATTAAAGCTATAATTGCGCATAAAGACTATTCACTATTCAGTGCACCATTGGAAACTTTAGCCTTATAGAAGCTTTACAATCGGTATTAATTTCTTAACCAAACCTTTTTTTTATTGATGAAGGAAGAAACACATTAGCTCTTAATTTTCTAATGACTAAATACTTTTACGAAATGATTTAAAACATACCGCCAAAAATAGCACCAATCAACTTGTATATTATATATACATAGTTTTTGTTAAACATGTGAAAACGTCGAGAACAAGCTCATGAACAACAACTTGGATCTTTTTTTTATGATTTTTTGAAAAGTATCAACGGCTTACAAGAACATAAAGTGGTTAGCAGGGACAGAGCTAAATTGCTGTTTAGCTCTGCTCGTTATGCTAGGAACTTTGTTAAAAACAATGATTTTAATGAAAAAAATTTAAAAGCATATATTCCGAGATCATTGAAAAAGCGGTGTACAATATTCGCATTAAGTCTGCTGTTAGGTTTCGAAGAAGAAATCCTAACAACAAGGACGAATTTGAAACGAGTATTAAAACGAGTATTAAAATTAGTTTTTAAGGGGAAGCCTACCCTAAAGTGATCAAATTTAATTTTTGCAATCTACCCGTGGAGTACATGGTACCCTCTCTAAAGTAATACTTTAAGTGCGGTAGATAGAAACATATGTCAAAGTTCTGCAAAGCCAAGGAGGACGGGTGTGAACTACGGAAAGTTTTCCAAGTGCGAAAACTGTGAAACGGTGAGGGTCATTGGTTCAGGCGACCATAATGCTCTAAACTAGTGCTGCCCAAACAAGAGAAGTCAGGAGAAGTCAGCCGCCAAATGCAGAGATTACGGCTATGGTGTTAGTATATTGGTTAAAAAGGCGTCAATTTCAGACGGATTCTCTACAATTCTGCTGGTGACATTATCATCATCAAAATTTTATATCGAACCTGAGCAAAATGTGATTCTACCTGAAGATTTCGATGCTAGACATTGCTTGTATGGTGATCGAGTCTCGAGTAACAAATGCAAGAGCCTTGTAAAAGCCATCAATGCCAGCAGTTATGTCTTAAATTATGGTGATACTATCTTTCACAGTAACCGAAGTGGTGGCACGGGAAGCAGTATCTTGGATCTAACTGTTTCTAATTTACGAACACGAATTATGCTGATTCCACACCATCCTAATAAAAGATACTTGGTTATGTTCAAGACCTATATCAAAGAGTCAATCTGGTCACAATACTTTCAATTCCTTTTAGTAGTTTCAAGAATATAACCTTCTGATTGCATGAGTTAATGTATGTCTTACATTCCAGAAAGAGGGCTACTACTGCAGGTTGTGATGTAGTTAACTATCACATGGTCAGAGCCGTCTGGAGGAAACTTAAGTGTCCTCAAGACAATTAATAACTGCTGATATATTAACTTTACAACCTTAGATTTGCGATCTATCAGAGTAGTTTCCATTCCTAAGGCAGGTGAAGACTTAAATGATTTAAGTAACTTCAGATCAATTTCACTAACAGCTGTATTCATAAAGACTATCAACCTTATGGTTAAGGAAAGACTAAGTGATTTCTTGAAAACTGAGAACATTACAGCTCGTTCTTACGCCTATCAAAAATACAAATCTACGAAAATGACTTTCTTTGGACATCAGCAAAGCGTATGATTGTGTCAACTTGATTAAGCTTGGCAGAATTCTCTTAAATTTTTCATTTCCTCTTCAAATACGTTTATTCAAGCGTGTATTGGTAAAGGGTAGAAAAAGTTGACGTGTACGGTGGTATTCCACAAGGCAATTGTTTAAACCCCGTACTCTTCGTCTACACACAGCTATTCCCCATGATATTCAAGGTGAAAAAAACTCATATTTTTCAAAATGCAGATGATTTCCTAATTGTATCTGTGGATTCATCTTTTTCAGTGGCTCTGAATAATCTCTCGATAAAAGCTAATCTTTTCTTCGATGTATGCGCCAATCTTAATTATATTTCAACCCTACCAAGACAAATACTATTTCTAAACGCGAGATCAGGCTCTTTATCAAAGAAACGGATCTGAACCGTTCCTTGGTAGAATTTTAAATGACAGCCTAACTCTTCATGTACGTTATGAGCCAGCCTTCAAAGAATGTCAATCTGGATGCAATATCAGTAACACATGACTAACAATTAGTCACGCTTGCCTACCAAAGAAAGCTTTGACTGTGTATAAAAGTCAAAGCTTTAGTTAGGTCTAAGATTAAATTTACACATTCTCAATCTTGTAATTTCCCAAAATATATTGAGAAACGTATAAAAACATTTGAATGTTAAAACGCTGTACTGGACTGTCCTCCTCAACTCTTCAACATAATCTCAATGTCATATCTGGTGAATGGCCCGTTTCCGAAAGAGTTCTTCTCTGTACTTCCAAGAAGTTAATTAAGGTCAAGATAATGAATAATTTCTTGCAGCTACATTTTGTTATCAAAAACTGCGTCATATTTTTGCCAAGATAACTTCAATTCCTCTCTGGAATTTTTTTGCCAATAAATGTACAGAAAAAAGCAAAATGACAATTTTTCATGTATGAGGATCTTATGTCAAGAAAAGCTTCTTCTTTATTACAATAATGGCTATGATATATATGCCACTGACGATTTTTTATAGCTTTAAGTACGAACGTAGCTTTCAGTAAGTTAGTCACCTAAGTAAACCCACCTTGTGGTGAAAACTCTAAATAGCAATGCATTAACGCAGCAGCCATAAGCTATAAAAGCAGCGCACAAGCAGCAAAATTTTCTTTAGTTGTTCTGCAGCAGTTGAACGAACAGGTAACTCAAAGTAGTAATAGTTGTCGTCCTGTCCGTCCGAAACGATGGCCATGAAATACCAGAGTGCGTTTACATCATTATTTTATGGATCTTCGGCCGAAAGGATACTCTAGCTCTGCCGCTAACCAGTAGTTGGGAGTTAGGTTCTCCGTACGGAACGAGGTTCTTAAGATAGCAGTGTGCGCTTGCATCATTATTTTATAGACTCCCGGTCCGAAAGGATGCCCCGGCCTTATAAAACCTAGTAGTTCTTCTCAAGAAATTTATCACTTACAAAATCTAAGTACAGCAGTACAGATTGGATTTAGCATATGGAGTGACCTTGAGTCGATGCAAACTTGATTATTTAACATTGCACCGCTGCCAAGAAGGGCTTCCGATATCTAAATAACATGCGTTTATTTTTAAAAACGCAACTGTTAGAAGTGAATTTTGCACGGCAATGAAGCAGCGACATTGTCCATGTCTATCACAGAATCCGAATATATCGTAATCGCAGTTTAGGAAGTTTTATAAGCGAAATTATTGGAAATTTGCCAGCTACAACGTTACTTAATCATAATCATAATCTGTGTTGGGAAACATCGGTCGATATAATTAACAAGCCTGTTTGTATTTATATATCTACTTCCGTGCACTCGGTCACATCAATCTTTCTATTACACAAATAAAGTCGTCGTTCTTTTATAATCCTTAAACCCTTACCTCTAGAAAAGCAACAAATAACGATTTTAAAGTTGATTGAGCGTCTTTAATATGCCCGGTTCCTTTCGAATGAACATCTGATTAAATATAAACAAACAAGAAAACTGTTGCGTATATTTTTAATACTGCCTCCTGATTTCTACGCTACTAAAAATTTCACTTCATACCTGTATTGTAGACATTCTTGGTTCCCAGGCGAGCTTTTAAGGATTCATAACAGGCAACCGTTGAAAATGGCTAGCGAATATTTTCAATTTATCTCTTTTAACTGGCACGTTTTCTTGTTTATGCAAAACTACAAAAGGTATATCTATGAAGAATGGTAACACGTAATGCCTTGAGAATTGCATCAGCATTGCTAAACGC